CATGCCCCCCCTCTCTGCATCACTGATGCAACGAGGCGGGGCGAAGAGCCACCTGGGATGAGGGAAAAGGAAATAGGTGGTTTGGGTTATTCGCCGCTAGCGCCATGACGGTCCCGTCCAGGGCCTACGGCCGCGGCGCCGAGCCAATTATGTGCTCGCGGCAATGCTGTGTAGTTCTTCTGCACCTGAAAGTAAAAGAGCCCCCGGTTTCGTCGACCCTTCCGCCGAAACGGAGGGACGCAGGGCCCGATAGGCTGCGAGACAGCCCCTGCCCCCTCCCCCACATCATCGATGTGGCAGGGGGAGACGGAGGGTGATGGACTGCTCAAGTGTGGGATACCTCTCCGGGAGGTGTAGGGAAGGAAGAAAGAGGAGGAAGATTAGCGACGCGGCTGGGCGGCACCTTCTCCGGTCCCAGTACCCGGCCCAACTAGGCTGTCTGCACGGTTTCGTACCGCTCGAGCTGCTCAGGTACCGGTCCTACCGAGGCGTCGTCCTGTCCCGCTCCCGCTGGAGAGAGAAGGAAGCGGCACTCCTACTCGCCCCAGTGCTCGGACAGTGTGGACTGTCTCTGCGGATTTTATACCGCTCGAGTCCTCCGGACACCGGGGTTCGCGGGGGGCGCCACCGTTCCGGTTACCGCTGGAAAAGCCCGTCCTTTCTTGGCCCCACGTCTCACCATGGACTGGGCACGTGGGCGGAGGGAAGAGTCCGCCCTTTGGGGCATACGGACAGCCAGGGCCCCGTCGGCCGTCTGGACGTGGCGGCGCCCAGACGTTGCCCGACTCTCACCACACGGAGGTGGGGTTGGCTAATGGGAGCAGCGGGGGATGCTCGAGGCATGCCTAGACCGCGCCGCTCCCTTTGAGAGTCAGAGAGCGGACCAGGGGAAGACTTGGGAAACCGGTCCCCGGATGTCTCCCCCTCTTTGGCGTGGACCGCTGTGTGGGTCCCAACAGGGCTGGTGGACGGCCCTGCTCCGTGCGTTGGTCGCACGGTCGCCGGCGACGCAATTGCGTCCTCCTCCTCAGTTTTCCCCCCTTTGTCCCCGGTTTTTTTTAATGTACTCATATTTAGGTTGCCCGCCCTTTATCACCCGTAGGCTTACAGGGCGGGCCATAAAAAGCGGAGGAATTACAAACCCCCCCAGGCGGAGCCCCACGCCTGGGTTTGGGCTAAATACACCCGGGGTGCGCCAGGTGCCCCGGGGTGGACCGCTCATAACCGGCTAACCCGCCGGCCACTCATCCCATCGCCGCGGCTCCCAAACTTAGGATTGGGGGGGTTTTTTATAGAGGTCCCCGTCCTCGCGGCCCAGGCGTTTAAGCCAAGGCCCTCGCTCCCCCAGAGGTTCGTCATAGACATAACATAACGGCCTCCGGGGGTTTACGATATGAACAGGTCCAAATTGCCGGGCCTGCGCTGTAGGGGTCCTGGCAAATACCACGCAGACCCCTGATACTCCCCGTGCGCAGCTGCCCACACGGGGGGGGGGGCCTCACGGCCAGCCACGTCGCCATATGCGATCGTGACCAGGAGGAGTCGCAGGGTTGCCGGGGTGCGGCACCTCACCACTGAATGTGGGGAGGGCCAATGTACCGGTCCCTGCGGCTTCACCTCCCGTCCCGCCGGCCCGGAGTTAACCTCCGGGTAACTCCGACGGGATGGCCATCCCAGGGTGCGCGACCCCGACCTCGGAATATGTCCGAGCGGCCCGCGCACCCCTCCACCCCCCGGGTTGTCGGAGGCTACCGACGTGCAATCTCGGGTGTGGGTTCCTCTCCCCACCCTACCCGGGCCGAGGCCCGAGTAGGGACGGATCGAGGGTGTCTCACACTTCCAGCTGCCAGACCGGCGTGAAAAGCTTACTCATGTGGGACCTTCTCCTCCCCCGAGGCGGGAAACTACCTGTCTCGGAGCGGAGATCCCCCCAACTCCGCCCCAAGACTGGTGGTGGAGCAAACCCCACCTAACGGCCCCAGCCAGCCGGGCGATTGGAATCAGGGCCGCCTACCCCTACCGGCGATTGGGCCCATCTGCCCTGTGGAAGTCGCCGGGCTCCCCTGCAGTGGAGGGATTTACGTCCCTCTCTAGCAACCGCGGGGCTGCAGCCCACCGCGGTCCGGTTTTCTGTGGAGGTTTTCCTTCCCCGTTGCCGCCGTTCACCAGCGATCCTCAGGTAGGGGCCTTCCTTCCGGCCGAAACCGAAAGGTACTGCCGCCGAGCCTTCATTGGATCGCCGGTACCCCTCCACCACGATAAGGTGGCGGCATGGAGGGGTTCAAAAAGTAACTGTGCCAAGTATCATTTAAATGTAAATTTAATTAACCGAGATTCAGCTTCCTAAGTTTTAAAATCGTTGTGTCCGATGATATGCTTTGCTTTGCACTGTATATCAGACAATGATTTGAAAACTTATGAAGTTGGATTTCGGTGTAACGAAGTGACATTTCAATATTTGGTACAATTATTTTTTGAAAAGTGCTTAACATGAAATAGAAAAAATAGTATAGATTTGTATATTTACTTGTCAGTGTTTATTTTATATTTTATATTTTTTATTTTATATTTTGTATATCTAATGAACTATACGAATAATACAATAACGGTTTAAATTATAACTATAGAAAAGAAAAGAAACATATCTTTTTTTATTTGATAAAATATGCAAGTTATAAACTTTACAGTCTATAAGATTTTCTGTAGTTATAAAATCATTTTTTTCTTCTTTAATTTCGTAAGCATAAAAATGTCTATTATAACTTAAACATCTTAATTTTTCATATATAAATAAAATTCTTGAACGATTGGTTACAACGTATTCGATTTTTCTGAGTAAAACATCACTTTTGTTAACATTTAGAACGTCATGTTTACGATAATCAGTACCATTGATTTGTACCCATTCTATCACATCATAATTACCAATATCGTTAGAAACAACTGAAAGTATCTTTTTTATATTTTTAAAAATGTTCAATAGTTTGACTTTAATTATACTCTTTCTGTAACTTACTCGTTTTGGAAATCCTTCATTGCGCATAAATCTAAAGCACAACTGTAATTGATGCTTAAGAGATAAAGTATAACTTGTATTTAGTCAACTTGAAATTATTTTGCTGTTTTCCTTTAGTTGTTTGTATTTGGCTTTATATCGAATGGAAGGTATATGATACAGAGGACCAAATATTTTTATTACTCGAGAATAATGTAGTAAATGATGTTTAACCGACGTCTTAAATAATTTTAAATATATATTTATATATTTAGATGTTAAAGAATTAAATCTATCGACAATCTCAAAAGGTAATAGCGGGCCAGGAAACAATATGGAGAATTTCAGACAAAAATAAATACAGTTTCTACGTGCAATTATTGTCTGGAATTAAATCGCCGATTATAAAATCCAAATTTTTAATTAAAAATTTTGATTTCTGAAGCAGATAATATAATGACTTTTTTTTAATACTCTCTTATGATAAATTTGGCGGAATATTCTTGTTCGAAGATACGTTATTAAAGTATAATATCCTACTATTTAAAATTTCCAATGTAAAAAAAGTTTTCTTCATATATGAAATTCTATAAAATTTTTGCTATATCATATCTACATATACCTTTGTAACGCTCTTGCGCTACGTGCGGGATAGTCTTAGTCGGTGCGGTCCAAGGTTTAGCTCAATAAAGTAGAAGCAGTGGTGTAGGTAATAATAAGTGGTGTAGGTAATAATAATAAGTGTGAAACTATATATATAACTATATAACTATATATTCTAATATAAGAGCTATTTACAATTATGTACATATGAAGTTACGCCGCTGACGCGTGATCGTGTTTTTGCTCAAATCTCGAGCCTAAGTTGTCGTCGCGGTGTCAGCTGCGAGCGTGCTCCAGGCTCGCGCGCAGGTCGCGGGATGCGGTCGGCATTGTCTCGCGATATTCTATTGCCGATATTATACAGGGTGAATATTATATACCGGAACACCTGAGTATCTCGAAAACAAATCGTTGTATAAAAAAATGTTAAATACAAAAGTTGTAGGGTTTAAAAAGATCTATTTTATATTAGCAGTTTGACCTTGAGTTGCGTCATAAAGATCAGGTCAAGGTCACAATGATGTTTTTAAATGGATACCCCCATTTTTTATTGTATATTCTTATAGCTTATCTCAAGAGTTTTCCAAAACACTACTTAAGTATTTTTTCGTTAAGTACTTTTCGAGTTAAGAGGCTTCAAAGTTACGCTCTTTAGCATTAGCGCGCGGCCGATTAAGGCAAGAGGAAAATCATATCCGGCCGATTAAGGCAAGATGGTTCTGTGTCCGGAAAATTAAAGAGAGAATAGGTTTTTCTTGTCAATAAAGGCATCATAACATCAAATTGCTTTTAA